GTCAACAGATAACTGTGATGAATTTATTTTTATAATTTAGATATTTTTTCCTTAATTTTGGAAAAAAAGGTTCCAAAACAAACCCACACAAACCAGCCCACACAAATGTTTGCTATGATGAACAGCCAAACAAATATTTAACTTTGTGTTAGTACACCTGAATAGAAGTTGCTCAGTTTGCTTCATTAATTCAGAAGGGCTTGTGCTGGATCACTCCAATATTAAAATAAATCTTCTTGTGTAGTGGCAGTATATACACTATGGCATATATATTTCAGATTGTTTTTTTCCCCCCAGATATGCAAAGCTTCTCCCCAGATCTACAGTAAACACAAAAACATCCACTCTGACCAATTCTGCCAAACAGAAATCCCATTGTTTTTGTCTGTATTACTGTGGATCAGATTTTAAGTAAAGTAAAAAACCCAAGAAGTTTGTGGGTTCACTAAATTTTAATGTTTCCTGAGAAACTCAGGGAAATACCCGTTAAAAGCCAAATATTAAATTTTCTTAGAGAGAAGTGAAAACTTCTTATTGCTTATTTCCTATTCCAGTAACACTAAAGAATAAAGGATTTGCAGTTAGGCCTCCAGCCAGAAAAGACCATAAACACATGTTCAGACACATGAATAGTCTCATCAAAGTCAAAACATTTAATTTTTATCCTCAAAACATGTGGGCTTTTATAATTGGCACTTGCAGACTAGACTGATGAATTAGCAGCAGATTTACAATTTAATAAAACCCTCTTGCTTTCCATATTCACATGAATAGGAGTTTGTTAGTATTTCACACAGTCTGAAAACTTTGGCCACATCCTCCACAAGTGAGACATCTCTTTGTTGAAATGAAAGCAGAAAACCTGGCCTGTTTATGGAAATATCTAGACAGCTGCCCTATCTGGGTTTGGATTGCTTTGTTTTCTTCCCTGCTTGTCTTTGAACTGAATAGCTGTGCCATGTGTCTGTACTCAAGAATGTGATAACCAAGTTGCTGCATTTTCAAGCCTTCTTTGAATCTACAATTTAAGCAATTTAACTCACTTTTTGGCTCTTTGGGGGGCAAAATATCTGAGGTCACCTTTGGCAACTCCCATTCTGAATTGTCCCCCTGCCCATGTACAATATTCTACACACTGGTGACAACTTCCTCCAGAGAGGCTTTTTCTGGTTAGGTCATGATTTATTTGAAGTCTCCAGGCTCCCAAAATAGGATAAAACACTGTATAAATATGATTGCAGCATTAGAAGGGTCAAGAATTTTTTACTGGGTAACTGAAATTTAAAAATTAAGTTACTTGGATTTCAATAATTCATGAGTCAGCTCCTCCTGACTTTCCTATTTCCCATTTAATTTTAAGGCAGGAAGGTTGCTGTGGTTCTGCAAGTTTTGGATACAGAAAGGTGTGGAACACCTGTTAATGCTTTTCTTATAAGGGTTTGCAAAAAAACTGTCTTCTTTTTCCAGTTTCTGTGATGCCTGTTTCTCCTGCGCCTTCTTTCCTTCTCTCTGTCCTGCTGGAAGCTCCAGGATGCCCAACCTCTGAGTTCTGCAAAATGAGCTGTGGACTTCTCTGTTCTCCCTCTGAATTTTGTTGTTTGCTGCCAGTTTATCTTTCCTCTTATATGCTGCTGTTAAAAAAAATAATCCTGGCTTAGCAGCCTCCACACTGGGGCAGAACACTCCCACATATCCAAAAATGAACTGTGTCCCCTTATCCCCAGGACAATCAATGCCTCTCCCTTGTGTGTGTGCTCTTATCCTCAGCATATGGAAAGGTCACCAGGAAAGGCTTGACCCACAATGCCGAAGTAGGTACTTGTCAATCCTGTGATGAACTTCAGCTTTACACAAAGATATTTCAGTTAGCAGCAGCAGAAAGAAAAAAGGCCACGGAGGTGGAATGCTAAGTGGAATTAGTATTATTAAAATCTTGTCGTTGAAAAGCAGTTCCAAGCTGTCAAATGTGTTTGATATTCTCTAGGAGGATGCTCAAGTTGGTCAATTAAGATTTGGAGGATTTTAATGCTCTGCTTGGAAGAAGGAGGGGGAAGAAATCCATGCTTGGGAAAATTTGGAAGGATTTAACAGTGTTAGAAACCTGGCAACTCTCGCACTCTCAATGAAATGATCCAAAGGAGATGCCAGCTTGTGCAGACATTATCTCTGACTGCACTGTAAGGGCAGGCTCTGTTTTCAGCCTCTGTGTGAAGAAACCCAGTGGGCAGGAGAGGGATTGGGATGCCAGAGGTGTTTCCCAAGGGATTCCTTCTGCCGTTTGAGCCGCGCTCAGGCTCTGCAGCCTGCCTGTCCCTCAGGCTCTCCGCTTTCCACAGCATCGGTGATTACAATTCCTGACAAATCCATTTTACCGATTCCCTTCCCTCTGGAACGGAGCTCGTGTGGGCTTGACCCATCCTTCCAGCGGCCCTTCGGAGGGAGCGGCTCCAGCAGATGTCACTGTGGGCCCTCGAGTCACAGCCGCCCCAGCGTGAGCTGCTGCTCGCCTTGCTGTGCCACAGACACACAGACAGACACACAGACACCTGCTTTGAACGCCTTGGCAGGGACGGGACCGAGCTCCAGCCGGGCTGATCCCGGCTGTGTGCAGGGCCCTGCGGCTCAGCTCCATCCCTGCTGTGTGCAGGGCCATGGGGCTCAGCTCCATCCCGGCTGTGTGAGCTCCCATCCCGGCTGTGTGCAGGGCGCTGGAGCTCAGCTCCTTCTCTGCTGTGTGCAGGGCCCCGGAGCTCAGCTCCATCCCGACTGTGTGAGCTCTCATCCCTGCTGTGTGCAGGGCCCCGGAGCTCAGCTCCATCCTGGCCGTGAGGTTCAGCTCCATCCCGGCTGTGTGAGCTCCCATCCCTGCTGTGTGCAGAGCTCTGGGGCTCAGCTCCATCCCTGCTGTGTGCAGGGCTCTGGGGCTCAGCTCCATCCCAACTGTGTGAGCTCCCATTCCTGCTGTGTTCAGGGCTCTGGAGCTCAGCTCCCATCCCGGCTGTGTGCAGGGCCCCGGAACTCAGCTGTGTGTTCAGGGCTCTGGGGCTCAGCTCCATCCCGGCCAAAGCCCCAAGGCCTGGGGGCAGCCCAGGTGGAATGGGCAGCTGGAGGGTGATGGAAGGGTGATGGGCATCCCTGTGTGATGTGAGAGAGCTGCAGGGTTAGGAGCTGTCCCTGAGTGACAGCGATGCTGCAGCAGAGAAACCACAGCTTTACGTAGCAAAGCCTTGGGCTCTACCAATAGAGAACTTAAAACCCTCACCAACAATCCTTAAGAGTTTTCTAAATATTGTGTTTGGGCGGTCCTGAAATGAATATTTTATTTGATTGGCTTATGGTGAGGATTTTCCTGGCACGTTGCATACGAATGCTGGAAGCAGAATAAACCTGGCAGTGTTTTGTAGGCTTTGAGTTTTCCTAAATAAGATAAGAATTCATAGCATGTGAGGCAAAACAAAAGAGCAGACAAGGGTAGAGCTGGAAGCAACAGAGGAGTTACAGGCTGTAACAGGTGTAACAGGCTGTGGAGAAGGGGAAGGAAGGAGGAGGAGTAGAAAACAGATGTCAGGAAGCTCTGATGAAGAGCACAAAGGATACCAAAATATCCTGGTACTGGAAATGCTAAATGTGGCTTTCACCAATACTTTTTAAAATGCAGGCCTGGACAGCAAGGCGTTTTAAATTCAGATCTTTCTAAACCTCTCAGCTGATTTCTTTACAGTGCTATTCTTCATGGCCTCTGCTCTTTTGCAAAGGCACCAGGGAGACACTTCGGTGTGCTAGTAGCAGCCTTGTCAGCTCTCATCCCCTCTTGCCCCAAACTCCACCCGTCCAGAACACATCAGTGCTGTATTCAGATCAGGTCTGCTGTCAAGGAGAAGTTTCATTTTGGTATGTGAGGGAAGTTAGCATGGTCCATGCAAGATATTTCTGTTTATGGTGAGAACAGAGATCAGGAGAAAAACTGGGAAGTTCTCTTTCTTACTTGAATGGCTTAGTTCTGGTGATTTATCATATTTACAGATGTACAGCTTATATGGCCATGAGTATGCTACTCCTCCACAGCATTGTTTTCTTTTAATTATATTGATTTCAGATTGCAAAATCAGGCAACAAGCGTTGGTAGAAAGGGAAATCCTCTTTCTGGACTTGATAGATAAGAAAAAGCAGAAGAATTATTCAAGTATCTGTTCTCCCTGGGCTTCTGAACCTACACATAATTCCTCAGGAGTCTCAGAATGTGATTATTACAAGGCTTGAGTCAATATTCAGTCAGAGCCCTCCAATTTTCCTTTATAAATTTCTATAATAGACTGATTTTTATCCACTCTATCCTGGTGTTAATACAGAAGTGAGAGAGCTCTGGTCCAAGGAAAAGCTCTGGCCTTTATGGAGTTTTCAGCTAAGAATTTTTTTTTCATTTGTTGGACCTCAAAGTGATGCATTTGAAGGAGGCTTTATTGCTCCTATGAATGCCAAGGAGAAGGCACTTGTTTGAAGGAATGAGTTTGAAGGTTTAAGGTGAACAACTTTGGTGCAAATGTGATAACTTTACAATAAAAAAGTTGGCCTAGACAAGCTTGTTATAACAACTCAAAAAATGAGACCCAGAGGGAAGTAAAGTTGAGTTATTTTAATACACCCTTGGTTGCAGATGTGTCTCCTGGGGTGTCAGGTAAAAACATCTGGGTGGCTAATAAGAATATTTTCAGTTTCTCAGACCAGCATGTATTTTTACCTTCTGGAGGTTTAGATCACTGAAAGTTCAAGCAACAGCTAAATAAACACTCTTAGAAGTCAGTGACAAAGTAAATCACATATTGTATGTTACTCACAACTGGCTATGCATTGCTTGTGCCTAATTGTTAACATATCACAAAAAATATCATTGGGATTTCTAAAAGTTCAGCTGGACATAGAATGTGTACTTGCACATTATGCACAGATACTTTCAGCATTACCTCAGTTTCTGCATACATTTCTTTTGTTGCTTTTGCTAGGTGTGTGTTGAGGAAGAAATCTGTGTAATGCATGGCTGAAGACAATGAGTTTATTTTGCAGCTCCATCCTGGAGCCTGGAGGAGGATCACCTCTGCTGGGAAAATTTCTTTCTTTGGCAGAGAGATGTGCAGAGACAGGTAAGGGCTGTGTTTGCATGTATGGCTGTCGTACCTGAAGGTATGAAAATCCTTCGTCACCTCCAGGGAGTGGCTGGAGTTAAAGCTGTCTGACAGCAGAATTTATGTGTGCACAGGCTGCAAGTGGAATTGAGTCAGGAAGGTGAAATGATTTCCTGATTTGCCTTCCTCTGTTCCTCTGTCATGCAGCCCCACCAGGCTGTGGTCTCACAAGGGCTGTGGCTGAGTCTGGAGAAATCCATGAAAGCACAATATGAGTTGGTGCATAGAGGTCTAAAAAGGTTTAACTTCACTTTAAGCATTCCAAGTGACCAATTTGCATCAAGTTCACCTTGAAGATCATAGCCTTTAATGACTCTTTATGGTGATTATCAGTAAAAGCACAAGAACAGAAAGCTTGTTGTGCTTTAGCAGTATAAGGCATTAGATGCTCTTAAAGTTTTCTTTTACCTTTTGAAACATTGACAAATTTGATTTGCCTCCCCCTGGAATTACCAGTGAGATGAGTGAGAGAAAGAAAGAATCAGGCTTTTGGAACCTGTAGCCTGTTCTGCACCTTCTACCTCAGCCCCTTAATGACTACAGTAAGATATTGACCCTCAGCTGGTCTGGATCAGCAAAGCTGATGTGCCTCTAATGGAGAGAGGATGTTTGGCAGCAGCTAGAAATGGGACTCAGGGTATTTACTAGGGCCAGACCTTAATTGTCTCATTCATGCTGTTGGAAGTGGGCTATGTACAAGGTGAAGAAGTAATCATAACACCTGAATTTCCTGAGATTTGAGTGTTTGATTTCTCAGCTGGTGTTGCTTTGATGTTTTTTCAATGCTGCCAATCTCATCCAGCTGTTTTATGGCTCCCACTCTCAGTATCTCATATCCTTTTGCCATTGCTGGACTTGGCTTGCTCTAGAAGAGATCAGGGCTTCTGCAGGGTGCCAGATTTTCCTTTTTAAAAACACTGGTTTATGCTGATTTAGACAGTGCAATTCTAGGCACTTTTTCATAGAGAGCTTATGCCACAGGTTCTGAAACAGAAAGCCCTTGAGTAAACTATAGTCCTAGCTTGGAGCAAGAGGCAATAGACCTGCCAGTAACACAGTGGCATGGGAAATGCTGCTGTAATTAAAGTTCACTCAGCTTTTCCTTTATAAATCTCTGTAATAGAGGCTTTGTGTGTTAGTGCAGCCATTTCAATTTATGTTGTTTTGAAACTAGGTAATCAGATTGTCAACTTCAGTGGGATCATTTCTCCATGAACGTATTTAGCAAAAGTATGCCTAAAATCATCAAAACCAATTCTTGTGTGTGGCACTGTAAAAATAACAAAAATGGTTTTTAAGCCTGCCAGCTAAGGTTATTTGGGAAGCCTGTAAGCTCAGGTGCAAGACTAGGGAGACTTACAAAATTATTAAAAAAATTTGTAATACTCATTTCTTGTAGGTGAGCAAGATTTTGCCTAAAGTTAAAAGGTTTTTAACAGCTCATAAGCTTTTAAAAAGTACATCTACTGGTTATTATGTTGCAAAATACATAAATAGCTTTATATAGGAGATTTAAACAACACAGTGGTTTTTCCTTTTAAAAAAATCTATAAATTCTGGATTTTAAATACCTCTTGGTACATGGACTGGCCTAAAATCCCACTAAAGTCATATGCTGGGTGCAATTAAATGTAAAGATTTTAAACTGTTTAATCCCAGCATTTATTATTATTCATTTTTTTCAAAGGTTAGAGAAAAAACCCAAGCCATACCTACTGTGCCTTCATGTGAATGTATATTTAAATTGTTTGTAGAATAAAAACCCACAGAGAAATGAAAATCTGTTCAGTTTGCAGTAGCAGAAGTGGCAAAAATTGCCACATGAGTCTTTAAAAAGGAGTAATTCTTCTGCCTGGAGGGCTGACCCATTGAATTAGAATATAAAGACTTCACAGTGGTTCAGAATTTTGCCTCTGGTAAGAGGTAGAGGAATATTACTACTTTTTAATTTTTTAAATTTCTCTCTTTTTTTCTGTCTCCTTTTCTAAGTTTTTTTTTCTAATATGCTTAATACAGTCTGAGATGGTCCTACCTAATTTTAGGTGACATTGGTTAACTCATTCTGAATTATCTGTAAACTCCTTCCAGATGTAACTTACAAATACATAGCTCTGCAGTTGTGTCCAGCTTCAGACAAAGAAGTTTGGATTCTTTTGTTTGGCCACCAGCATGGTAAATACCAGATTCTTGATTTAGGTTATTTCATTTCAGTCAAAAAGTATTGTTTGGATGTAAAGGATTTTCAGCAAGGCTTGCAGCTCAGACACTGCAGCACAGTGCCCAAACAGAACAAGGAGGTAATCAATTCTCACTTGGACTCTGCAGGAAGTATCTATGCCTCTGCAATACAGACTTTGGGAAATATTATTAAGATCTGGTATCTGTAAACTCATGGCAAGCCACTGGTCCTTATTCATCTCCTCAGAAAGTGGGAACAAGTACAATCCTTTTTAAAACCCTAACCAAATTTTGATTCTGGAGGTAATGACACAGGGAGCAGATAGTTTCATGATACCTTCTGCTGGACCCAAGGGGCAGGAATGGACGAAAGGGAAAAGAAAGTTACTGATGAAACTGGTGGAAGAAAGGGAAACTGTGGATTTATATCTTCTTTCAGTTCCTCTCCCATAAATATTGCCACTACTCCTCTGAGGGTTGCTACCGTTGCCTGCTAGTGGGCAGCACTGCTGGCAAAATTAGGAAACAAAAAAATGTTTACTTTACCAACAAAGTTAATGATAGCTTTTTTAACTTGGATGTACATGGATAAGCAAGAGCTCAGCTCGGCAGCCCCTCTGAGGATGGGGTATCCTTGCATAAAAGCAGGTTTACAGGGTGGGTGGAACACTGGAAAAATCATTTTTACTACTCAGCAGCCTGCAGTTCTTTACATTCTGCATCACTTGTGTGCCAGTGTGTAGGGACCTCAAGGAAGGACCTGCTCACCCTGTCACTTTGTCCTCTGATTCTGTCCTCCTTCAGGGTGGCCTTGCCTTTCCCCAGAGTGGTTTCAAATTGAGCATCATTGGCCTCAGTGATCTGACCTTGGACTAGCTTGGATGGCATTATTAACATGAGGCAGAACTCTGGTGAGGAAGGGATGTGCTGAACATTTCACATGGCAGAATGTGCAAGACAGACTGGAAATTCAGTGTCTTGTGCTTGTTAAATAGCACCACATTTTCAGCACTTCAGCCTCACATGAGGCATGGCCCTGCTTTATTCCCCCAGCAGTCAAGACTTTGTGTTATGATAGTAACCCAAATAGGCAGAATTTGTTGGTTTTTTAAGTGCCTTTTACTTCTTGTGTGTTCTCTCAAGACACATGACTTAAACCACATGAAATATTCTGAACAAAGCTTAAGCAGTAATGTAAATTTTCTGTTTGCAAGATGGTTGATGAGGTTTTCACCAAATTTGTTGTAGTAGTAGCTATAATAGCCTTGTAGTTGAACAATGCTACTGCTATTTTCTGCTACTGCTTTTTTCTTTGATTGTTTATATAAATAAATTAATTTAACAGATTAGGTAAATAAAAACATTCTTCTTATTACCATTAAATCAGTAAAAGCTCTCACTGAATTTTGTGATCACCTTCATATTTGATAAATCATGTTGTTTAAACATAGATATGAAAATGAGTTCCTTGGTAATGGTAGATTTTAATCACACAAAGACTCTTCACAAAGAGATTTGCTTTTAATTTAAAAGAAATTGAAGCATCAGCTCTTTAAGGTTCTGCATTGTACTCCTCTTCCATCACCCAAGATTCAAGCTATAACAGTAGTAGGTGTGGTTAAAAGATACTGACTGCTTCTGTTGAATATCTGAAAGGTTTTTAATTAATAGTTCCCCTGGAGAAACAGGCTGTATTTTAGACCTGAATTCCCTCACCTTTTACAGCTAAAAGGATGAATATGAGGTTTTAGAAAATATATTAAAATATATTTTTTTATAAATTGCATATATTTTATGTATTGGTAGTGCCTGTAGTCCTATGAAATTACTGTATGTGGATTTTTTTTACTTAATGTTGACTAAAGATGCTAAAAAAGGACACTCGGGAATACCAATAAAAGGGGGAATTGCACTTGTTTATGATTGAGGGTGAGGCTGTGTGCAAAGCTGATCCAACAGAGGTTTTTAATTGCATTTTTTTCCAAGTTTCAAAGCATGTCTCTGATATTTACTGTGTAAATAGTTTATTTTACTACTGCAAGTGTATTATTCTCCATCACTCCTCTTCCTTTTGTCATAAAGATCAATATTTCCCCCGCTGGAAATCCCATATAACCTCGGTGATTTCTGTGGCTTTTATGAAAGTACACTGTTAAAGTAATATTTGCACTTAGTAACTGTAGGTTTGGGACAATCTGTAAGCAAAAAAAAAAAAAAAATCCATTTCTCAATGAGACCATTTGTGTTTTGTTCAAAATCAGTGGGAATCTGCCATGTTGGTGTCCCAGGGAGAAAATCAGCTGCTACTGGAAGTTCAATAACAGGTAAAACTACTCATTTTGAATGCTTGCAACCCACTTATTAAAAAGTGCAATTTTAAGGGTAGCAAAAACAGTAATTACTTTGTTTGAATGGTTTTAGAGTTCTCAGTCAGAACATTTCTTTCAAAGATTCTTTGAATTTTTAGCCAGAAAAGAGCTGATGCAATTAGTGGGAATATTATTTGAAAACACATTTATGTGTCAAACCATATGAGCAGAATTTGAATGAAATGAGTTCAAGTGTGATGGTGTATCCTGTGGTGTTCTTCAAAAAATATTAACCACCTTTACCCTGTACAAGTGCAAATTATTATTCCAGAGTATATTATTACACTCCATTGCTCCTGTAGCTATAGCAGTACTCAGTGTACTGAAAATGACTGGGAAAATACTTTTCTACACAGTAAGAATAGCACTGTGGTCTTAATTAAATGATTCATTTCAGTAGAATATGGATTTTAACTTGATAATAGTCCCTATCAGCAACAGAAATGCTAATTTATAGGTGGGAAATTATAGGAAATAAGCATCCAGGCAAAGTGGGAAAGCATGAGCCAGTCCCAGTGTTCAGTGCCTCTGACATTACTGCTATTGCATCCAACAACTCACGTGGAAATAAGAACATAATAAGTAAGAGATGGCAGTGGCAGATGGACCCCATCTGGAGTAAAGGACTTAGAACAGCTCTGAGAGTGTAAAAAGGATTTTTTTGGTTTACTCTTGAATTAAGCACCTTTTAGTCCAGAGGAGCCTGAAACTATTTCCTCATGCAATTGTACTGACTTCTGGTGGTCCCAATATTGGCCACACACCTGAGATCAGCACAAATGTCCAAACCAGGTCCCTCCTAACCTTTCTGTAGTGGTAAAGAAGCAACAAAGCAGGGCTCCAGCTTGGGAGAATATGGTTTGGATGGGGATAGAAAGAAACCAAGAAGTGTTACAGGAGCACGAAAGGAAAATTTAGTTCATATCATGCACACATCAGGGAGAGGTGTTAAGTTGCACAAGGAGCTGAAACTCTTCCATTTCTGGATGTCTCTGGCTGACTTGGAGAGCACAGAAAAGGTTTTGAATCTGTCATGTAAACAAACTTCCAACTTGTCTCTGGGGCCAAATGGTGCCAGGGTGGCTGAGGCATTGGGGTCTGGAGCAGCTCTCCTCAGGCAATCTGCAGGGAAGGAATAACTGTGTACAGGGAGTGGAAACCACTGCTGTCGTGGAGAGCTTTTTCATTTTGGGCATGTTTTCTGCTGCTTATCAGAAAATGACTGGATTATCTTTACTCCCTTATAATTTGAATAGTACCTGATTGCAGTGCTTGTACAGCATATTCAGTAATGGATTCTGGAGAGTGCTTATGAAATTGTTAATTATGCAGTAATCAGTTAAACACTTCCCTTGTTACCAAAATTCTCTGAAGTTGTTGGGATAAATAAGACCCCCTAACACTGTGTTTTAATGTTGGTGAGTAAGGCCTGGTTTTATTCTTGTCCAGAAGGTGTGTGTGGCCCACAAAATTATGGCCTACACACAGATGTTGATATAAACCTTTTTCACTTATTTATACATTTTTAGCAGTCGAAGAAATGAATGCTCATTGGCTCTAAATTTTGTATTTAACTTAATTAATTAGTATTCTATTCTCTATTGGTTATTGATTTCTCACTTTTCATGCTAATTAGTTAGGAAAGTTATATCATTTACAACATCCTGTCTAAATTCCACAATGGATCTTCAGGTGTTACAAATGTGTGTAACATTTTCTGCAAGTATGAAAATTAGAAAAGCAAATCAAACAGGTATCTTTAGTTAGTAACTATGTAAAATTATTTAATTTCCATTTAGGTACTAAATCCTCAGCACTGTTAAGCTTGGTGTGCCACTGTGACTATTTATATTTATTTTATATATCAGTGTATCTTTATTTTTGGAGTTAGACCTCCGTAGAAGTGTATGAACATCATGTTAAACTTGGAAAGGAAATGTGATACCAGGAGTAGCAATCACATCTTCTTTCATGATTCAGGCAAAAAGAATTCTGCTCTTTATAACAGTAAGAACTTTGACTTACTGAATTTTCTATGGTTCTTTAAATGCTGAAAAGAAATGGTGTATTATTATGTTTGCATCCTTGCTTTAGGGAAAAATAGGTCTTTCAAAATTTGAGCTGCCCTTCCAGTCCATTTGTAGGGTATGAAGTCAGCTGGGAGATTTCTCTCTTTGCCCCCAGTTAATGTTTTATCCTTGACCTTTAAAATGGAAGTTGTTTCTTTGATGTAAGCAAACACAAAGTCACTGAAGAGGTAGCTGTAAACATTAAAGAAGCTGAAATAAGTGAAATGTAGGTAACTTTTTGGATTACAGCTATTTTTGTTAAAGTCTTATTAAAGACTAGAATTTGACACAATTAGATTTTTCTACCTCTTTGCATCTAGTTGGGAGATATGCTTGTTTTTTTTCTTAGTAACTGAAGCCACAAATTGTAACACAGTATGAAATAAGTTTTTGAAACCACTAATTAAAGTGTATTATATTTTTCCTAATAAAAGAAATAATGACAGAGTCTAAAACACTCACTTCCAGAGAAAAGGTCTAAGCTAAGACCTTTTGCTGGTGCAGGTTGGCTTGACAAAAATAAATTCCGTGAATATCAGACAAGCCAGCACAAAGTCTGAAGTTTTCAGGAATACAATAAGCATCTTCAAGACCTGCATATCAGGTGTGTTAACTGGGATATAAATTGTCATTAAGTAATTGGCTTGCAGGGGTCTCATTTTAGTAAAAGGTGACACAGGGTAGCAGTGACTCCTTAATAGGGCTCCAGTGCTCCTCCACAGGAGTGTTTATTTTCACCTTCTGAATTTGATGAGATGAGGGAAGAGTAAATTTTGCTGAAAAATATCTGATATAGGGGCCCAAGACCTCAGGGAATACCAAGTTCCGAGTCAGAAACACAATGCTAACTTTAATTGAACTTCCTGTGACCATGTGCTGCCCAGAACTCTGGAGGACCAAATCTCAATGAATTTGGTTAAGATTTTAGCACGCCTGTCAGAGCATCAGTGATGCTCATATCTAGAGATGTTCCCTTATTAAGGATTCTCATTCTGCCTTGTATATTTTGACTGCCTCTAAGCTCTATTTATGGTGTACTATAAATGTTTTCACATCAATTTGTCAGCCAGGAACAGTAAAATCAACGAACTCTGATTGCTATCAGTTCCCCATAAAAGCTTTTTTTTTTACTTTTGCTCTTAATTGCAATGATGTGAGGATTGAGTCTTCTTTACAACCCTGTAGTAACAGATTATTTATGTCATCTTTCACATTATTTATATGAATGAAGGCTTCTTTAATAAGAACTTCTATGAAAAGCTCTAAGTCAAACCCCAAAGGCCAGAAATTACTTTTAAATACTTTTGCATTTCAAATTACTTCCTACTTGTCAGTAAATATAACCAAGCTATATTTCAAACATTACCAAGCAACTTTAAAATTTTATCCTGCTTTCTTACCCAATTGAAGCTATGCTTGTTTTAAATGTATCTATGATGAGATTCACAGTCTTGTTATGGAAAGGTTTAATTTTCTTTTGAATATTTTCCAGGCACTTAATTTAAAAATAGAAACAGAATTCTAGCTATTTCATGTGGAGTTGTGGCCCTGATCAGGACTCTTTTTTCTTGTAGTAATTAAACTGGGGATTTAATTAAACTGTGAATGGAGTTAAAGAGTATTTATTACAGAAATTTGTGCCACAGTTGTTGGCAGCTTTTTGGTGTTAGCAGTGCTCCTTTGCTCACTTCCTGTTGAAGCTGGGCTTTTGCCAGGCCTGTTTTCAGGGATGGGTTGAACATCCTCCTCCTCAATAGCATTTTCCTCCACAAAAATATGAGCAGCTTTGGCCACTGAACCCACAATAAGCAATGAATAGATGTGGACGTGGTGCAGATAAATTGTTTTCATTGCCAATTTACCTGATTTGATCAGAATATGTTGGAAGCTTCTAAGTAGCAAATTCAAATTTTGAAGATTTATTTTCTAGCAGAAAACAACTTGTAGGAGGTCTTGATTATTTTTCTGTCTTGTAATTGTGGAAGTCCTGCTTTTTCTTAATGCTTGCTCAGGTTGCCCAGAATCATGTTAGAATAAACACAGTTTGTGCAAGAAAGTGTGTGTTGGATGAACGTATTGTAATATCTGGAATGATTTTACTGTTCTGAATGCAGTGGGATTTCATATAAGGTCCAGATGATCAGCAGCCAGTGGAGTTCTCAAAGGTTTCTGGGTGAGTAGTCCCATATGTTTATTTATAGTATATGGAGTTTTTTGAGGAGGGATGGATGGCTTTTTGTTTGGATTTTTTTTTGATGGAAGGGAGAAGAATCCATGCAAGAGGCTCCAGATTCTCTCATGTGTTGAGACTGGAAAAGGAGAGGTGTGACTTGTAATAGATTGTCCCACTCCCTGACTAATAAATGGACTCATTAAGGGAATGAGAGAAAAATAGGATTAAATTACTGCAGGCCCAGTGCTTGCCTGACCACAAGTATGAGATGGCTGAAGGTGATTTATAAAGAAGTTAGAAGCACATCAGAGGGTACAGGATCTGGATAGTTAAAGACTGCTATAAATTATCATTTTCCTGCATTTCACTAAAGCTGACAAACAGCAGTGAAGTTTATTCACTTCTGGGGGAACTTCTTGGGTTGTTTCCCACCAGATTGTCAAGACCTAGACAGACTTGTGACAGATCAGCCAACTGGTCTAACAGTTTATGGGGAGACCTAGAGCAAAGCCCATTGAACAGTTCTGACAGAAAACAGCCATCTTACAACTAACAGACTTCAGGGCAGGCTTTTGGAGAGTGATGTTTTTCTATGCCCTGTCTACCCTTGTTTTATAATAAGTTATTGCTGCCTTGTGTATGTTTTTTTCTACTCTGTCCAACTCTGTGATGACTGAAACCAGGGATAAAGCACTGAAACGTGGCTGAGCCAG